TTTTTTTTTTTTTTTTTTTTTTTTTTTTCTAATGTGGAAGATCAGACCAGGGCCTGGTACATGCTGGTCCCAGCCCTAATTGGCATAGACAGCATATTCTACCCAACAACAGTAGACTACACATTCTTCTCAAGCTCACATGAAATATTCACTAAGCAATAAAACACAGCTTAACAAATACATAAGAATATAAATCATACAATGTCTGCTTTCAGAGGAAAATGGAATTAAACTAAGATAGCAATAAAAGCAAGATGGCTATCAATACATTTCTAAATATCACTGAACCAAAGAAGAAATCTAATAGAAATTTAAAAGTATTTGGGCCTAATGATTTGAAAATACAACGTACCAATAGATGGAGGCCACCATCATCATTCTTGTTCTTATTATGCCTCACCCTCTAGCCACAGTCCTGCGCCAGTCATGGCTGAGGTCATCATGCTTACCATACCTTAGACCACCCAGATCCCAGCTGCTGGGTCTAGCTGGGTCACTGCATCCTGATCTTCCTGTCATTCCTCTGAAATCACACATACCTTGAGCTGTAGTCCACATGAGTTATCACAAGTACAGAACAAACTTAAGGGCCTCCTTATCTCAAGCATTTCCACAGGCAGCTGAGGTTAAGCAGAGGCCCTAGGAGCAGAGGCCAGGAGTGTTGTAAAGGAGATACCCATGCAGACTAAGGTGAGGTCTTAGTGACCCCTCATGGCTCCATCGGTTGTTAATATTTGGGGGGTTCTCCAGTTCTCCACATTTCTTAGACCTATGACCCTTAGGCTAGATTATTACAAAATTCTTGATTTTAAGGTTTTATGAGTTTTATGTGGTACTAAATGTTGTGAAATATACAAAAAATTAGTACCTAAAATTATGGCCCAGAATTCTTAAGAAGACAAGGAACTACCTCTGATGGGAGGAAATGCTTTGATAAGGACTTTGAGTAGAGATCCAGCCATAAGCTTGGGAAAGCTAAAGCCTAGGGTCCTAAGGAGGGAGGAAGGGACTAACAAGGGGCAGGGACAAGCGTCTCATTATATTATCTGGATGGCATCAACTGTCCTTCACATGAACCGGGCTTCACGAGAGGAGATCCTCCTCTGAACATTCCAAAGCCTCTCACTGGTCTACTCTCAGGAATGCTTGAGGGAATGATTTTATGGTTTATATGAAATCCAAGAGTCAGTTTCAACACATTCAAGTCAGGATGGCTCAGGAAAAAAGCCAGTATGCTTTGCGGGAAATAGAGATCGTGGGGGAAATGTGAGCAGGTAGAAAACAGTGTTTCATGGTGTGGTGGTGCAGCACATACCGCACCTTGGGACTCCATTCAGGCCAGAGTCTATGGGAGTGGCCTTCTCTAGAGGCACACAGTATAAAACCTGAGCAACTGAATGTGACAGCCCTCGACTGACCCTGCGGCATTAGAGGAAATCTTACTACCATTTGAAGAGACAGAGACGCCTCCCTCTCCCCACCCTTCCTAGGTACTATTGAGACTCAGTGTTTTCCTTAGGTTTTGTGTTTAAGGTTCTAAGATCTTTGGGTTTCTGAATCTACAGTTCTCTTACTCCAAGAATCTAGGAGTATAATAAAACTACAATTCTAAGACAAA